CTGAGATGTATTGTGAGATATTTTACAAAGAATGTCTTGAATGAGAAAGCTGGAAGATTGTCCAAAGTTGGCAGAGCAATAAAAGCATAGAGTACAAATTATAGTCTCAGTATTCTCAGTAAAATTTACACAACTTTGCTTCAGAAACATAAATTGTAGGTGAAATCTAAGCGATGTGAATGCTGTATCATTTGATAAATCTGCCTGATACGGCAGTGGGCACACTCTCCGCAGCGCAGACAGGGAACCAGACCCAGCCTCCGAATCTCTGAGTCATCGCTCGCCTTCCTTCAACTGCAGCATCCGCCCCTCCAAACGTCCCCCCACCCACCCAACCACCTTCCCACAGAAGCTCCAACTTCATTTGTTTCGCTCGTTGTTTCAGCCACCCGTCTCCGTGACGGCGCGTGCAAACAGAGCTAACAGAGGAACCTGTGGCTGCTGTGGTTACCCTCAGGTGACTGTAAAAGCTCAATGGAAGCTGGAAGAAAAAAAATAAATAAATAAACGCAGAAGCAAATGGGGTTCTGACCTTCATATCTGCGGTTTTATACGGGGGGGGGAACAAAAAGTCATGTGTGAAAACACAGATATTCAGAGTTTCGGGATATGAAACTGTTCCATCAAACATCTCAGACTGCAAACTGACAAGATACGGCAAAGACAATCAACCCAGAATCCGGCAGCGCCGTTAAAGTTATCTATTTATAGCAGCTTGATGCAGCCTGGAGAAAGACTCTGAATTAAAAAATGAACTGAGACTGTTCAGTCCAATAAGCTTCAGTGTCACATCAGAAACAGTCGATCAGATATGGGCCCGTCAGGCTTCAGCTTCAATTCACCAAACAAGAACAGATCAGAGTTAGACTCTGACAAGCTGCTAAAACGAGATAATTTAATTAATTAATATAATATAAATGTAATATAATATTTAATATTTGACTCTGTAATATAAAAACTAGAACAAAAGCCAAAACATGTCCTGGGTTGTGTTTTCTCTGTGTAGGATAAATGAAGTACATTTTGTTTCCCCACTTGTTCACATAACAGCAATGTAATGTCGAGCCTCTTTAAGCCGTCTTTATCCTGAGGTCAGAGAATGTTCATTGGTGCAGACAGAGAGTCTGCACAGGAAAGCATGAGTTTGTTCTTATTGCTTAATTAACAGCAGTTCAAAGACTTTACAGTTCTAGCTGTTGTTTTAAAGCGACCTATCATACAGTCACTAATCTACTCAGTGAATATCTAATATTCAAACTTTCCCGAATAACACTAAGCTTGGCATTTGTTGTTTGGAAAGACAGTGAAGTATTTCTGCAACGATGCAATTGTCCTGGTTTGAATATATTGCGAGGTAAGAAGAACCAACCTACCTTTACGCAAAACGCAGGGAGCCAGCATGCTAGCTCTGCCATAAGACACCACACTGTAGGTAAATCATTTATATATAAAAAAAAAACATTAAAAGGCAACTGGACACATTTAACAGTAATAAAAACAATGAAAACAATTGATATGCAATTTTCAGCTTCAGCTGCTTGGGAAGAAAAGTTGCCAAACTTTGTGAACAAATGAAAGGAATTGGAGGAAGATAACATTATAATTGTGTCAAACACTTTCAGACCAATCTCAAACCAAATCTTATTCACTGAACATTTGACATTTTCCAAGAAATTAACATCCAGTTGAAAGAAACTTACTTACACTGGATCATTTGTTATTAAACAGCTGCTGACACACAATTTAAGCATATAAAACATTGCATTTTCTAAATAAGGCCCAAATTTGCGGCACTATAAAATAACTGAGTTGGGGCAGGGGGAATTACTTTCGAACTCTGAGTGGGATCAAAATACTTGACGTGCAAATGGAACTGGTAGATGTGTCTTAGCTCAAGTAAAGGAGTGCTTCTCCAACTTGCTCCCAACTGTGAGGCAGTTGAAGAAGCACAAAGTGAAGGCAGACTGGTTGAATCCAATGACTAATCAATAGCAGCTCCAGCAGAAAGTCCTTCTAAAGCCATCCTTAGGAGCGCCGGTGCACATCTCGCTCCGATAAAGAGCTTTGGTGGTGAAATCTGAGCAGAGCCGGGCTTTGTTGACGATCCCGTCGGCCACGCCAACGTTGGATCAGCTTTTGATTTTATGGCAACGCACAGCTAAATGAGGGACACCTGAGACAGGAGCGGGGAGTTTATTAATTATTAAGCTGCTGGACTGCAGCTAAATGTTTGCATTCAGGGAGAAGAAAGGAGAGGAAAAGAGAGGAGAGGAGAGGAGAGGAGAGGAGAGGAGAGGAGAGGAGAGGAGAGGAGAGGAGAGGAGAGGAGAGGAAAGGAGAGGAGAGGAGAGGAGAGGAGAGGAGAGGAGAGGAGAGGAGAGGAGAGGAGAGGAGAGGAGAGGAGAGGAGAGGAGAGGAGAGGAGAGGAGAGGAGAGGAGAGGAGAGGAGAGGAGGCAGCTGCACTTCTAGGGGTTCCCCACAGCAATTGGTCATGCTGAAAATAGATTGCTCAAGTCTGGGCCAGATGGACAAAGTTGTAGGCATGATTCATTCTCATTCATTCAAGCGAATGAGCAGCAAGACACTGAGCTGAGATCTTTGCTGCTTTTTGTTGCAATCATTTAACTAAAAATGGAAAAAAAAAAAAAAAAAAAAAAAAAGAAGGTTCAATGAACAGCACTGCCCTGAAGGTCAGCTTAAACTCTCTTGTTTTGGGTCAGCCAGGTTTAAAAGAAAAAAAAAAGAAGAAGAAAGAAAATAGAAGAGGAAAGATCCTAATAAAAAGACACTGCATGTTGCACTAATCCGGCAGTGAATGAGAGCGGCTTGCTGCAGCAGTTCCTTTATGCTCTGTCGATGCCACAAGGGGATAAATGCTGAGCCAGCATCCAGCGCAACCTCACCAACACTGCAAACACTGCGGATTACCTCATTATATGTCTGTTAACCCGTTTAAGCCTCGCCACGAACACAGCTGCAAAGGTGGCCAGAGAAATTTGGGATGACACGTCGTTCCGTCCGACGGCTTCAACCCCTTCACACAATCTACGTTTCTAATAAACTATTGACGGTTTCATTTGTTTGAATTGCAGCGAGGTGATAGCGAACTTCGCTGGTTGCAACACCCTTTTTTTTTTTTTAAAAAGAAAAAAAAAAGACATTAAATTGTGCACCACCTCTAGATTAAAATAAATTAGACATTCCTGCTAACAGGAATTCACCTGTGTTATGCCTAAAAGGAATTATTGCTAAGGCTAATGTCAGACTCTTGTGCCAGAAGCACTTGGTGATGTTTGGCAGATTCTCAGGACAATGGACTTCAAATGTAACCTGTGTGCGCATGTGTGTGTGTGTGTGTGTGTATGCAATTTTAACTGACCTACTTTATCAAAATGGCTCACAGGGTCATTAAAACACACCCAGCAACATCAGTTTGACAGGACACTGACAGGACAACGCCAAACGGAAAGCGGATTATATTATATTTTATACCCACAATGTTTCCATTGTTATTCCATATATTTATCACCTTCCCCTTTACTATCATTTCCACTGTAAACCACTGTCACCACCCCATCATTTTGAGTCTTGCTTATGTTTGTTATTTGTCAGGTTGTTATTTTTGCTTCCCTTTTTGTCATGAAGACCAACCTGTCTTTCATTTTTCCCCCCCCTTCCATCCTAACATTTGGCTTTGCTTTTCCTTTCAGCCAGCGTCTGTGCTCTCTCTTTCTTTCTAAGCTTTGAAGAAGAGCTGAAAAATCCTCAGGGTGACGTATCCTAGCAACAGTAATATCCAACTTATTCGGCAGAGGGATGAATCAAATGTAATATTTGGGAAGAAAAGGGATTTCTAATAAAATGCTTTGGCGGAAGAGGATGAAACAAACGCTGGAGGTATTACGACACTAACAAGGTTAAGCTTAAAAACGTCCTGAGGTGAAATGTGTTGAACTTATGAAGGGTCGCTTAAATCTGCTCTGTACAGAAAGGACTACAAAATACTTGGTTGGGACAAACTGTGACATGTATTAAATGTGATTGAACTTAAAATGCAAAACTGAACCAGGAAGATAAATATACACTAAAACCACCCCTCTGTTTCAATGGAACACGCAAATCATGACAGAAACTAAATAAACTGACATTAGGATTGCTGCACAGCTATCTGCTACAAGACATTAGAAAAGCATCAGACGAACTTTCCAATAGACTATTTCTTGTAATCATGTTGGACAGATTATGATCTGGAACTTGCCTTTCAACATATATTCAAAAAGGTGATCATTCATGCTTCCCTTACATTTAACTTGATGGAGTTTCGGAAAAACAAGGAGGTACTGAAAGTAAACACCAGGACTGCCTCCTTATGAATTATGTTAAAGGTTAGTTTGTTTTATCTTATGAAGCATCTTGATTGTTTGGTACGTCTGGAAAATCGTTTGTCCAGAGAAGTAAAAGGTGAGAGCTACCACGAGTTTGGCGTGTTGTCAACCGAGAAGTGTCCAGATACAAAAAACTCCTGTCTTTACCCCACTGAGAATCTGTGATTCTTAAAATAAAGGTGGATAAATAGAAACCAACTATCTAAAATATTAATGGGTCACCACCAGTCAGGATTTGGCCCAGAACTAACATCCAACATCAACTTCCAGAGACAACGACAGGAGCTATGAAGAACTGGAAACACTGACATATTTGCTAACAAAAAGCTCTTGACATATACAAAATGTCTTTACTCTGTCTTCACCACATCATAAAAACATAAAAACATTTGCATCAACACCAAAACTGTTAAGTCATGACTAGATGCAGAGGAGCACGATCTTAGCAAAAATGTTGGCGTCCTCTTCACTCCAGCATTGACATGGGGGGTTCATTGTTCTGTCTTACATAAACTCTGCAATAAGACACCAAAATCCCGTTTGAGGGAGGAGATGAAAGAGGAGGTGGAGTTTTAAAGGAGCAACTGGGATGTTAAAAGAAAAATAAGTGACTCACTCACTCGAGGAAGTGTTCTTCGACAAAACGTAGGTGAGTAAAGCCACTAAAATGCCCTTCAACAAGATTCTTATAACCGCCTATACAACAAAATGTCTTTACCAATTCGTTTTGATGGATTTTGAGGTAATGTTACAATCTTGTAAAGTGTTCCTGCTGATTTTTACTGTCCTCCCACACCCTTTTGATTCCAGTCAGTGGACATGGCGACTGCTTCCAGTTTTCTCTCCGAAGAACAGTTTCTGTGCTCCATCTGTCTGGATGTGTTCGCAGATCCGGTCACCATACCGTGCGGACACAACTTCTGTAAGACGTGCATCGCAAAGCACTGGAACATCAGCCGCCTCCAGCAGTGCCCGCTGTGTAAGGAGCATTTTGATCCCAGACCGGCCCTGCGGATCAACACCTTCATATCCGAGATGGCTTCTCACTTCAGGAATGCCAGGAGCTTGTCAGGACAAGTGTCTCCCGGCTCAGGAGGGATTCTGTGTGACGTGTGCGCCAAACCCAAACAGAAAGCCTTTAAGTCCTGCCTGGTATGTGCTACTGCCTATTGCCGTACTCACCTGGAGCCTCATATGAGAATCACAGTGCTGAAGAGACATAAATTGATCAATCCAGTCATGAAACCGGACACCATGATGTGTGGGAAGCATGAGAGGCCTCTGGAGCTGTTCTGCAAGACCGATCAGAGGTGTGTTTGTCCAAGCTGTGCTGCGTCCGACCACAAGAAGCATCGGGTCGTCGCTCTGACGGGAGAGTGTGAAGAAAAGAAGAAAGAGCTGGAGAAGACCAGAGTTTGTGTTGAGCAGATGATTCAGGAGAGATTACTAAAGATGGAGCAGTTTAAGCAGTCGGTGAAGCTCAGCAAGCGGGATGCAGAGGAAGTGACAGCAGCTGTGGTGGAGGACTGTTCGGACCTCGTCAATTCTGCAAGAAAAAGTCTGGGTCATTTCCTCGACGTGATTGTACAGAAGCAGAAAGCAGCAGAAGAACAGGCAGAAGGTTTCATAAAAGAGCTGGAAGGGGAAATCTCCACGCTAATGAAGAAAAGATCTGAGCTGATGCAGCTGTCGCAAATCGAAGACCACTTCCATCTACTCCAAAACACCCCGACGATGACGGTAACCGCCAAGGACTGGAACAAGGTCAGATTCCAGTCCTCCTGCGGTGCAACGGTGAGGACGGCTGCAGCTCAACTGGAGGCGATCAGAACAGAGATGAAGAAGCTCTGCGCGCGCATTGAACTCGCAAGAGTCCGGCTGTATGAAGTGGACGTGACTCTGGATCCAGATACTGCGAACCCCTATCTGGTGATGTCTGACGATGGGAAAACTGTACGATGCAGTGATGTGACGCAGGTTCTCCCAGACAAGCCAGAGAGACTCTCAGCCTTTGGAGTCTTGGGAAAGCAAAGTTTCTCCTCAGGACGATTTTACTATGAAGTTGAAGTTAAAGGGAAAACTAAATGGGAATTAGGAGTGGTCCGAGAGTCTGTCGACAGGAAGGGTGAGAACGCCATTTGCCCTGAAAATGGCTACTGGGCTGTTTGGCGAAGAAACAGCCATTACAGAGCTCTTACCGGGCCCTCTGTGCCTCTGGTTTTGGTGTCTGAGCCCCAGAAGGTGGGGGTTTTTGTGGATTACAACGAGGGTCTAGTTTCTTTTTATGACGCTGAGGCAGCACATCTCATCTTCTCCTTTACTTTCTGCACCTTCAGTGAGAAACTCTATCCGTACTTCGGTCCCTGTCCAAGTGACGGTGGCAAAAACTCAGCCCCTCTGATCATTTCCAGCATCAGCCACACATTAAATTGAAGTGCAGTCATGTATCGCTTTAAGAAAACCTTTTTGATTTACTCAAGTTATATTTGATGTAAAAATGTATTGATCTGAGATATTTAAGATTTAAATAAAAAGCAAACAACTGAACAAACCTGAAAGAGGGAGAAGAGAGAGAGAATTTCATTTCTAATGATTTTCTACATCTTGTTCTATCCTTTGTTGGTAGAACAAGATGTTAGTCCTCCGCCCTCCTCCAGACAGAGTATGAACTGATATCAAATGTTTAACTGTTATCTGAGAGGTACAGAAAGGCCAGCTCTGCTTTAACAACCTTTGTCAACGTCCTTGGGTGGAGAACTGACAACAGGGACAGCTGGCCGATGGAGACAATCAGTTGAGGTAAACTAGTGAGATTCAACTGTATACACCTAATCTAATCCAATAATTCCAGATATTACTGGAGATTTCTTGAGTACGTTTGAAATTGTTTCAGATTATTTCTCATTCCAAATAACACAAAATGTTCCAGAGGCATATGAAATGTGTAAACACAATCATTTCTTTGTGAGACTTTTAATAAATGTGGAACATCAAAGTACAGCGATAGATCAGAATGTGAATATCGGCAGCTCGAACATGACTGGAAAGATCAAGAGTCACTGAAGAAAGGATCTCTGGTGCCCTCTGGTGGTGGTTTAGATTTATTAACAAAACCTAACACTAGCAGTTGTGAAGATGTAACGATTTAAAACCTCGTTATGCCTGGATGTTGTCGGTTGGCCAATGCCAGGCCAGCTCGAAACGAACATGAACATTTTAAGAATGTCTTTTTTTGTTTTGTACCATCGGTGCAAGTTTTCACTTGGCCAATGATAGGACCACGTCTATATGATTTTAAAGATACTAAAGGATCAGGCCATAGAATAACAGATTTGCCTCAATTTTGTTCACATAAGAAATAAATCTGGGAACATCTTGATTAGATTTCGTAATTCTGCATTTTTAACAACATTGACTGAAACTACTAAACACTCACACAACAGAATTGAGTATGTCATTTATTTTTATTGTGTTACATGTGACCATAAACTTCAGAGAAGTTACAGTTTCCATGGAGATACAGTAAATATATTCAATTACTTGAATAGGAAGAAAATGTGTGTAAACACATGTGTGTGTGTGGAAGTGAGGCGCCCCAGTTTGGACGGTCCAGTGTGTCTGGTATTAACGTGACGTGGATTAAAAACGAGCGTGTGCATTTGGAAAAATAAAACAAACATTAAATAAGATAAAAGAACAGTGACCTAAAACTTTGAGCTGAAAAACAGCATAAACCCACATACAAAAGAGGAATAAATAAAACGATCTTTCACGGACATGGTAACGACGACGTACAGTAAAGATGGCCGCTTCCCTCCACGTTTTGTGTGTTGAAGACAAGGGAGCAAGGGAGACGGGAAGGAAAACTGCACTCTTCCTCCTGTGGCAGGGGATCGGCCTTTGGGTATCTACGGGCGGCGGGTGTCTACCTGTGGAGTCAGACTTCATATGGCACCGTCCACACTACAACTCTACAGTAAACGCGACCACAATCCAAGTCTGAATTCAAACTATACCTTCTGTTGCACCCTGCCCACACCACCTCCTTTAAGCTACAACTTCACCCCATGTCTGACTCTAAAAGGCACTGGTATGTACTTATTTCCACACATTCCACCATCTCAGGCAATGAGGACGCACGGGGAAAAAAAATCAAACACACATACTCTCGGGCCAGCCGGGTAACTTCCAGGGGTACAGCTGGCTCCTACGAACGCTACCGGTCTCTGTGACCCGAAGCTTCCATCGCGAAACAGTCTGCTGACGGCGGAGGCAATCGGATATATGTAAACGTCGACAAGGCTAACATCATAACAGGCGAAGACATAAATAAAAACACATGAAAACAGTGCTGCTAAACTTACCAGGATGTTCTAGTAAAACTCCAACAGGAGGAGGAAACCGGTTCGTGCACACAGTGAGAGTGTCCGCGTGGCGCTCCGGAGGCGCCGTCGCCCACCCGGGTTATTTACACAGTGACTCCAACCGACTTCTACTCTAACACACAGAGAGTTTGGCTGCAAGTTTTTGTACATTTGGAATGCTCTTGACATGGCGACGGTTAGAAAACGTCTACAAGTCTACGCGCTCCGACGAGGAACGGAGTCTATTCTAGGTTACATATTGAAACTTCGAGGCTCAAATGCGCTGGAGGAAGTGACTGATGCTCTTTATTGGACGTGCAGCGGAGCTGCTGCAGTCAGGCAGTGAAGTTCGAACAAAGTGTTGAACTTTGATTTTGTCTACTCTGAGCATATTTTTGCCGTATGCTTCCTTTTCTACAGTAAACACTAGTTTCTCAACAATCCAGGTCACATGTTAAACTGCTGCTGGTGCTTTCTTGGCACTTGTTTTTAACTGAAGCACCACAAAAATAAATTAGTTATATTTTGGTTATTTACTAGAGGACACCAGCAAAAAACTGCTGATAGGATTACTTACAAACTAAAAGTGGAAGGGTTCTCAACTCCAGACTGATATCAACTTTTGCTTCCAATCAGGAAGGCAACAATCAAAACAAAGGTGTCGACTCTGCATGCAGACTTTACACTCTGTGGTAAACACAGATTTATCATTCATTTTCTATCATCTCTAACAGCATAGAATTAACTGGAACCAAACTGAAATGAGTAACATCAGTTTACCATGTTAAAACTGATCAGTCTGCACATAAAAATTATTACCAGAACATTCAGATGTGCATTTAGAAACAAATGATGAAATCAGGAAGACCACATTTAAATGAATTGGATGAGCAACCAATTATATTAGGACACCTGGTTGACAATAACAAGACGAATGACGTGCGTCAGCTCGTTTTCGTTGGATTTTCTCTAGAGCCAGTTGAAAACCGGCTGCAGCGCCAGACGTAGTTCAACACTAGAACCGGATTGGTAGAAACGTTGTTTTTATTATTACATTTATTATTGATAAAAGTAATAATAAATGGCAGCCTCTAAAACTTAGATGTGAGGTTTTTTTACTTGAGTTGTTAAAGTGATGTTAAAATAGTGAGCATAAAAAAAATCATTTGTTCTCACTCTAAGCTTGAAGAAAGTACGAGTACTACGAAATTAGGCTTAAGACAGAGCGCCGCTCTAAAATTGTTTATTATTAATATCAACCAGAAGGTCGGCTAGTTTAAATTAGAACAGTAAAAGGGCAGTGTTCACTGGGATGTTTTAAAAAGACTTCAAATATAGATATATATATTTTATTTTCTTGATTAGAGCATCAGTCTGTCTCAATGCTGAGGCGATACCAAAGTGAATGTCCCACATTTCCAGTGCATTTGTGCCATAAGACAAAAATGGTCTCCAAAGGGTTAAAGTTCGCTACTTACAATATACACATAGGATGTGTCATATGTGATCTATTTTTTTTTTCTCTCCCTCTAAACAACAACTTTGTATGCAAAAAGTGGAATTCTATAGCTTCTGTTCCTTTTGTCCCTTGTGTTATTCTCACTGTCTTCTATTTCCAGATGTGGAATCGAGGGTGAATAAAAGAGGATCTGATCATACAAAAATAAAAGTTGCACACATTGGACCACTCGGTTTTTCTTTCCCTTTGTTTCATCGCGTTGGTTTGTTTCCTGGTCTGAGCAGGCTTAGGTTAAACACAAGATGAGATCGGAAAGCAGAAAAGAGAAATAGAAAAAAAAAAGCATTAAAATTAAAGGGATCTTATGTGCATGTGTTACAATCTTGTTTTTGTGTTAAAAGCTTCCCTGTCGTTCAAGGTGAAATGTGAAACATCAGAGTAGCATCACTCCATTAAGAAAAAAAAAAAAAAAAAAGCAAGAATAAAGAAACAACTAATAAAAAATGGCTGCCGTCTTTGCCTTTGACATCAAGGCAAGTTAATCAAAAACAGAAAGAAAATGAAATCCCAAAAGGCAGTCGAGCCTTTTTTTCCATGTGAAATTCCCTCACCGCTGCTCCTCTCTTTGAAATCCGTGTATCTCCACGGAGATTTGGAATGATGATGGTTGCGAATAAATACGTGAAAAACGGTCTCTTTCCGAGTTCTTCTGCTTTTCCAGGACACAAAGATATGGGCTTGTTAAGCGGAGAGAAGGAGTGAGCTGGAGTCCGCTCGTCTAAAAATCTCCAGTATGTGTGCATGTGAGAGAGAGTTTAGGGTGAGGCCTTGTGGCCGCTACTTGAAAATGTAGTTGATGAGAACCTGAAGGATGACGAGGCAGGCGATGACGACGTAGTCCCGCTGCTGGAGGAAGGAAGTGTTCTCCGCCCGGCCTGCGGAACGCATCCGCAGCGCCGCGACGCACCTGCACAACAAAGATAGGAACCTTTAGCGCACACGGCACCGGGACACGTTTGTGTCACGGGACAAGTCGGGTTCTTCCTCACCTGTTAATGTCCTCCTGCGTCTGCTTTATGGAGTCGATGGCACTTTGAAGTTCACTGAGGTCTGCACCCTTTTTCCTCAGCCGACTGTTATGCTTGCTTTTGTGTCCTGCAACAAAATAAATCGGCGTTTTTGTCATTAACAGGGCACCGACTAATATTCCATACATTTCTAGAGCTCCCACTGCTTTAAAAACCAAAAACTAGAACGTCACCATGATGTTAATCACCAGTCCTATTGATGGAAAACACACCTGCAGTATTCAAAGTGTTATTTATTTGTATTTTAATAGTTTTTTCCATATAGACCTATTTATGTTTTAAATAAAGCTGTTGATGATGCCGTTAAGCCATTTTGTTTTTGTCCTTATTTTAAGATGCATTAAATCCACTTTTTTCTTAAAATTTGACACAAAACGCAATAAAACATCACATTTTTGCTATTTTTTTCAAATTAAGAGACAAGACATACAGAAAAAAATTAAGTATTCAGAGCTTTTATTCTACGCTCTGTTGAAGCGCCTTTGTGGCAAACAGCCTGTGGTCTTCTTGGGTGTGTTTAAAACATGTGAATGTTTTGGAGTATTTTCAACATTCTTCATAAACTTTTGCTTTAGTCCACAATTTATTCTTTGTCTTATCTTAATTCTGTTTTATTGTATCTGTGCGCCCTTTACTTCACTGGTGATAACCATGAATTTGACCATTGTGGGACATGTTTCAATCTGTTCTATGATGTGAAACTTTTTCAGTGCTGCCCATTATGCAAACTTCATGTAATTTCTATTACATGAAGTTTACAGTGTCAGAAAATGCTTCAAAACGCCACAGAAATTCTAAAAGAAGTCCACTGAGCGGTGTTATTCCGTCCCGTCCATCGAGCTGTGTTCGCATATCGACATGCTTGGTGAGGCTGACTCACGTTCGCTCCCCGATGAGTCATGGCGATCAGGTTCTGGCGAGGAGCAGCCGCTCTCCGGGCTCTTGGGCTTGTCGCTCTTGTGTTTTCTCTTTGGCACCGTTACCTGATTAGCCATTCGCAGATGGGACACACACAAACATATGTGATAAACAGTTGGAACGTTATGAGCCAGCAAAAAGCAGATAAATGGCACAAATAAAAGGGCAAAGGAAAGAGAATAAACGGCGTTAAAGTCAGGATTCTCGTGCAGGAAACTCCACCGGTGGCGGATAACGGCGGCTATGTGACACATGCTGTTGTATTAGTGCAATCATAGCAACGCGCAGGTAGCATTCAAAAGTAAAGAAATAACCAGCAGAGAGTTGGGACACAGAATCTGTTTGCTGTAATGAGGGCAAACAGCTTGGATTCAACATTTTAGTTAAAATCTGATCAGGAACTGCTTATTTTAAGTTTCTTTTAAGAATAAATACACAATTTTACTAAAAAACAACAATATTAGGCACATAATTGAAAAAAATGATCAAATATAATGAACTGAGTACACCAAACAAATCATGTTTATTTGTCTTTCCCATTTAGAGGGGAGCAGCTCTATTTAAGATGATAAAATTAATATCTATACACACTATTTTTTTTGCCCTCCTGCAGTTTTTTTGGAGGGCAAAAAACTTTTGGCCAACGGTGAATAATGTTGGTTTCAGCTGTCATGTTGTTGCTAAACTATAAGCGAGGTATAAAACAAAAGGGACGCAACGTTTTGCTATTAATTGTCAACACCGATAGCTAGATGAGGTCCAAGGGTTTCACATTTTGCAGGTCAGTAAAAAGTTTTAATGAAAAGAAGAAGAAAAAACTAGGGGGAGAAAAAGAAGTAGATCAGTTATGCCAGCTTGACTTTGATGTCAATATGTATATGTGCTGCAGAATTTCTTGCGTGTCAGTTCAGTAAAAAAAAAGAAAAAAAGGCAACCCACACACCAACTCTCTGACAGATCATCAATAGAGCAAGTGTTTAAATTAGCTGATCAATCACCGCTGGGTTCAGTCGATCACTGATTAATAATTGCTAAATAAACATCGAACCTGAAAACGTAAAGCCATAACGAACTGAATGTTCCGCTCTTCCAGAGGGGAATGTTTTTGGTGTTGAATCCTGAAACATTTATATATAATCTCAGCTCTGTCAGTTGCTGTGGCAATGGGTCTGCGTGTAGCGTGAAGCCGACAGAGAGCGAGAAGGAAGCAGAAGACGAATGGTTTATTCTTCAGCGTTATTTTCCCTTTGCCATGGCGCACTGCGCTGAATTAATAACACGTGGATCTCCAGTTTCATTTTGTTAACAGAACTGCTCTACCACAGCAGCGAATAAAAGGATTGTCGTTTTCCCCTCCAGCTCACGTGTGAAACTTTTGAATGTAAACAATAGCAGTTAACGTGTCTGCAACACTGGCTGATGCTGGTTGTTGCATCTGGAAAATTATTACGAAACACTGAACATTTTTCTGACTTCTAAAATGAATTTAAACTACTTTGAGGGTTTGTGTTTGATGAGTCATGCAGACACAACAATGAAACAATGAGGATGACAGAGAGAAAAAGTTTTAGATAATGGATAAAAAAAAAAAAACAAAGGCACACAGAGTCCAGGCTATGATGGCGGCAGCGGGGAGGTGGTGGCACAGAGAGATGAAGCGACAATGGAGGCGGTGCGCCGGCTGATGCGAGAAGGACGGATGAGGCGGTGGCATGCTTCGTCACCGGGACAACATACCTGACACTTGCAATTGTCCCTCCGCGGCCCCTGGTTACTCAGACTAATAAGACTGCCAGAACGTACCATAGGGGTGCGGTGTCGGACCTTGGTCTGGATGCAGCCGTCTTTCTCAAACTGAATCAGGTCGTTGAGCGGATCCCACGGCCTGGTGCTGAAGAAACACACAAGCAGGAGAAATGAGAAGGCAAAAGAAGAGGGACAGAATCGGTTCTTTTAGTTTCTAAACTGGAGTACCGCAAGGCTTGACTTTAGGATTCCTTCCATTGTCCATATTTATTCGCAAAATTAGAAGATTATGCCAACAGCTAAAGTCCACTTTTATGCAGATAAACTTTACACACTTGGCTTATTCAATATGATGTGGCCCATTTCCAAGTTTATAACAGGCTTTCAAGTGCTGTTGGTTCTTATTATGAATAAAAATAACTTTGTGTTTTCCAGAAATGACTCCAGTACTTCTATGGGGATCCTATTTCTACCCGACCTTACAGAGAGAGAATATTTGTATGTTTGGCTGGACGAACGGGTTGACACCCAGTTGTGTTTTTTGGAATCTGGCAGAATTGTGTTATTAGTTTACGACTTTGTCATGACATATACTTCAGAGTACATTAAAGCTTAATACTCTGAAAAAACTGTCTTCTAAATAATTTTGGCATTTTATATATTGCTTTTGTAGTTCAATGTAAATGTTAAACTAAGGCAGTGAACAATAATTAAAAGAGACATGCAAATTGAAGGTGAGTTAAAATAATAATAATAAAAAAATACAATCTTTCTTTGATCATGATAACTCTGCAGTTACAGTAGCCACCAGAAGGTGGCCCCCTTACACGTTGCTAAGAAAAAACAAAAAAGCCAATGGGAATAATTCTAAAGAGAAGTCCATTAAGGTTTGATGTCTTTTTTTTTTGTAACTATTTTTATAGCTACATTCAAAATGCCTCATAACTGCAAAACACTTATATGCTAAAAGTCAAAGTCTAGAGACATTATTTTTTGCCTTTGCAGAGGTGAACTTGGGTGCACCGGCTGGTGTGCGGGGCAAGAGAGGAGCCACTCACTCGGCATATCTGTAATGCCACTCTCCGGTGACGGGGTCCTGCTCGAACAGGGCGGGGATCCACTCCTCGCATTTGGCTTTGCGCTCCCGGGCCGCCTTCCTCTGAGCTTCCTCCAGGATGAACTTCTCGTTGGTGGCCTCCGTCTGGTCTTTGTTGTTGATCGCTCGAGTCACGTGCTGCCACAATCTGGATGGTCATAAAAACATTAAAACCTGTTTGGATATTCCTCAAGTTTGTCCTTTCATTCAAATAGTCTGGAAATGGTAAAAACAAAATTCTAAAGCGAAAGGGATTAGGATTATCCAAGGTCAACGGAGGACAAATTCTTCTTATTATGAATTCTTATTTATGTTCATTAAATAAAACAAAGTGCACCTTTCTGACTCGAAGTCCCCCTGCTCTTCAGGTGGGACGGTGTAGCGCGTCAGCCTGTTCTGCCTCAGCTCCGGCGTCGGGTCCCAGAAAGTATCCATCGTCCCCGTTTTCTTGTCGTTGACGAAGATCTCGCTGTCCTGTGAGAGGACAATCAAACACAATCATTTGCTGCGTTTCCATTCAAATTGAAATTACAAAAAATTATTTTGCTTAATACAGCAATGTAGAAAAATAAGTTTTTTGGTAACACTTTTTTCACATCTCACAAGTTAGTTGACTGAACTGGATGTTACTGCAGGCGGAAACGACAAACAAGACGACAAAAAGTGCTAGAAGGATGTTTTTTAATAACTTAGCCTGTGAACAAACTTATTCACGTGTGATTTTGTGTGTCTTATTTAACGGAAACAACGCAATTGCAAAATTGTGGGTTTTTTTCCCCAACATTAGTGAAATATTGACAAAGTTAGCTTATGAAGGTACTTTCCATTCCAACTAGCTACTTAAAACCAAGATTTTATAGAGACAGAATAACTGAATAACTTTATATAATTTGCTCACCATTTCCTCTCAAATCTTTGACTACAACCTTACAAAACAACAGAAATCTAAATAAATACATTCAAGCTACTAAAACAAAACAAATATTACAAGCAAGAAAAAGCATACTTGGTGTTATTTAGAACAATATGTGGAGTCATACCCAGTGTCCCTCTAGAGTAGCCAGGACCTCCTTTCCCAGCTTGATCTTCCCGGAGATCTGATTGACACAATCGCTGCTGCCCAGGAACGGCTAAAAAAGACAAGCAAGACGAGGGACAAGAGGCGAAGGGGATGCAAGAGGAATCGAGGATGAGGGAGGACAGGACACAAAATGGAGCACAAGCACAGGACAGTAAAACCAGAGAGAAGAAATGGACTTACTGTTGTTACTTTGAAGGAGCATTTTATAATGTTCTATTTTTCTTTTAAATAAAATTTCTTTAAATATTTACCAATACTGCTTGAAAAGACACTCATCGTCTGACAATAAATCCCACTGAACTGCCCTGTTAACTTCATTTATAGTTAATTCGATTTTTTAAAATGTTTTTTCTTCTACTGAGGCCGTTAGGTCAGACTAACTGTTTTGAAAATGAGTGATGGGAATAAACCGCTTGTACTAAAGTCACCTATCCTGTCCTGCACCTACCTGCCGCTGATTCATGACAGGGTAAAGCAGTTGGTAATGTTGGGGTTGGAGTTGGGTGGTAGGGTTGCGTAAAGAGGTGGGACAGGTGGAAATGTCGACGGAGGAGCGAGACAATCAGAGACATCGCGTAAGAAACATTTCTGCTCCTTTTGACACTGACCATCTCCCAGGCTACGATGACCGCCACGAGTCTTGCAAACGTACCTTCAGTTTGAACTCCAGCTGAGCGCTGTAGCCCGTTTTCTCACACGCAATGGTGATCTGACCTCCCAGCTCCAAGGTCATGGTGCCGTACAGTATGCCTTTCATATAAAAACATGTTCCAGTCAATATAGATCAGCTAGATGCGCCGTTAAACAAAGGTTTGTGGTGTGCGCTCTGACCTTTACAGTGAGCGTAGGGCATGTTCATAACGTAGTCCTCCCCTCGGTTGAGGAAGGTGAGCCGAGCCTCTCCATCTAAAATGGCTGACAAGGAGTTTCCTGGAATGGGAGTGGAAGCTCATCAGTGCTCTGTGAATGTTAATGAGGTGAGAATTAAGACGGCTGAGGTTGTTTGTACCGTAGAACTTGGACTTGGCGAGGATGCTGCCGCTGAGGCAGAAGCCGTCTTTCCTGTTGCTGACGTAGAAGGCTGACACTGGTGGATGATGAGAGACCTGGGAAGAGAAGGTTTTTACCCACAAGGCAACTTTGATTTGGCTTTACACTTTCTTCCTTTAGGATCCACAAAATGATGCATCTTATAAAAGAGTCATGAAAATCCAACATTTGTTTTCAACTTTTACTGCATGTAATCTATTGAAAAACTTCGGACCTACCCATAGATATAACGTTTTTCAGACATAGTTACCTTCCTAAAATAATGGCTGCAGAAGACTGAAACCTGGACAAGTCTAATTTATGGAAGTTAAAAAGGAATCATTTCAATGTGAACCTCTCATCAGCACTGAATGCAAGCTGCTGCTGCTGGTGGTGATACCTGTTCTGCGATGTAAAAAGTCTTGCTGTTGGTCTTCTGATGGAGCCACATGCACCGGTACGTCTCTCCGATGATGGGGTTGTACGGCTTCTTTAACCCCTATGGATTAAAGCAAAAACATGATTCAGCAGAGCAAAATAAATATAATAAATATAAAAAATGCACATAACTCAACGTGAAGTGAGTCAAATTGACCTTTGGCTTTTTGTAAAATCCAGAGATGTACCATTTCACCACCTTCTTCATCCGGTTGTAGGCATTCTCTTCAACTGCAGCTCTGGAACGAGAAACATCAACTTCTACCTGAGCCATGTTGTCGTAACCACAGCATCTTCTCCACTGACAGTGCATTTATTGAACAGAAAATACAGGAAGCTCTTACTCGGACAGGAAATCTGCGTGGTAGTAGTAGTCGGACAGCTTGTCCAGGAAGGACCTCGGCTCCAGGATGAAGGTGGGGAGGACGACCTTGGACAGATCCATGCCTGGCCGCACCTGCTTCAGCAGAGTCCAGATCAGAGACTTATTCTCCTCGGACACGGTCTCCGTCTGTGCAGCCTCGCCGGCCTGAAACGGAGCAAGTCCACGATGTTAGCTAAAACATCCAAAACCAAAACTGACTAACTGCAGTGTGCCAACACTCAATCCCACTCTTGTCAATGTGAAGGTTTCATTAAGCTTACACCAAGTGTTTCATTTGTACGCTGACAGACTCACGGAATGGAAACGAGAGTTAAATGTAAAGCCTTACCTCCCCCAGCTCTTCGTGCGACTGCTCCATGTACGGGGTTTCCCGCAGATGCTCGTTGGGGTCCAGGTCAATGTACGAGTCGTCCTGGCGCTCTGACGTGTCGCTGTCGCTCTCCTCGCTCTTCTCCAGGCCCTCGGGGTCCGACTCCTCGTGGTCCTGTTCGCCCTCCCGGTCCGACTTGTCCGAGTACAGGTCCGGGTCTTTTAGGTGGTCGCCGTCGCTGAACCTGAAACGAGGCGGTTTGGGTGTGAAGGGAAACAATAATCAATAAGTGCATCCCCTGGATTCTTTCATAACTACCTGTCAAGGATAAATGGTTTTCAAACTGTTTTGCCAGTACATAATTGCAGACTAAAACTGGTGTTTGTTGTGAAGTCAACTCTATATGCGCTTCCCTGTCCAGTATTGTAAGTCGTGTGCGTTAACTGGTGCTGCTCACTGGAAGCCGTGCATGTTGTGGGCTCTGAGGAGGCTGTAGAAATTGATGGAGTGCTCTCCACCGGCAGACACTGTGCTCATGTCCTCCTTCCCCTCCCGGATCATGGTCCTCTTCAGCAGGCTGGAGCACTTCAGGGCCAGCTCCAAGGCGTCCATCCAGCATCGACCTGAGTGAAGCCATCCCAATTACACACCCACACGTAAGGAACAAAACCGCACAAGGTGCTACACTCAACAACAACAAAAAAACCTTAATTTTGGATTATTGTAACTCGAATAAATATGTTTTATATCCCTTCCTGGAACAGTTTTTGAAGTGGAATGTAAATGATTTAATGCAAAATAGAGTTGTGTGACCAGAGGAATTAGTTGATCTTCAGAATCAGACGAATACAATTCCACGATGGACATAACTTTCATAGAACCTTTTAGAATAAAATATTAAAGTCATAGATTACAGTTCTTACTGTATTTATAGATTCATGGCGATGCAGAAAAGGCGAAACTTTTCACTTTTTTTGGACAAATTCATGATATTGTTTTCTATTAAGCATTTTATGTAAGTACAGTCAAACGTTTTATGTGAGCCAAAAAGTAGAATTAAAGTATTTGTTGATTTATAAACCAAGAAATACAATTTGGATTTCTTGAAAAGTAACCTAAATCAGTTAAAAATTAAGAAAGGTCAGAATCTGTTTGGTGACAATCAACTTAAATCTGTTTTCTTGCATGTGTTCAAAAAGTAGACCGAATGAACCTTACTGGTTGAAATAATGTTCCGATTTGACTCATTCCAGCACCATGGAGAGAGTCTCTGTGGAGCAAGACGGAACGGCTCTCCATGTTTCAGCACCATGGACAGCGTAATAAATGCCACAATTTCTCCTGTCTTCTCTAAACCATAGAGGGACTGCACTGAAGTAACACTAAATGTAGGTGAAAAATAATATATTTTGGGTAAATTTAGCGTAGTCTGCAAGATTACATTTTCTTGCATTTTGTGAAGTTTTCATAGCATCTGTTTTCACTCACATAAAAGTCCCACTTAAACACTGGAGTTTGAGGTTCTGGTTATTTGTAGGTTATTTACTCTATGCTTGGCTTGTCACAATAAATTATGCAGGAATTTCAGGGACAATAATTGTTCCCTGAAATTATTGCGATAAACAATAATCCTACAGTTTTGAGAGCTTTTTTTTGGTAACACTTTATTTGACGGGTAAGACTGTCATAACACCTGCATGAACATGAGTGACTCTTCATGGATATTTATGAATGTTGTCATAAAGTGTCATTCGGTAAATTATGACACTTTAATACAAAGCTGACATTATTCAAAATGTCGTTGTTATGATAACTTGACATTAACCAGGAAATCATGATCTGACATAAATTTGTTATAAAAGTATTACTGATTAAACTTTAGCTTTAATAACAGAAAGCTACATCATTTTTAGAGTTTTACCGCGTTACCGCTTTTTCTACCAATATAAATACATTTTAATATTTGTGTTCCACTGCCACTGGAAGCAAAATTGCTGAAAACAGAATTGTTCTTCAAAAATGATGAAATCCTCAGAAAGGTAATTATTCAGCTCATTTTAATTCATCACGCGATTAATTGATTCATTTCTTCATGCTACAGGCTTGCTGAAGACAGCACGGGTTTAGGTCGGTTAGCTTGCGTTAGCAACAGAGTCAGAGATTGAGGTGTGACTGACAAACCGTCTCTCACCATCAGACTCCGATGCGGCGCGGAAGATGAGGTGGCTGCTGGGTAATGGCTGTGTGATGGAGCCCACTGCCTCTCCTTTGGGACCCTGAGGACAGAAACGGACAGCGTGCTGAAAACAACGACAGAGCTTCAGGCTGACGTGACGGATCACGTCACTTCTGAGATCCGGGCGCTGACTCTGACAGATTCTCATTTCAGTTAATATGTTTACGCCACTTTCCATTTGGTTAATTCGATCCTAAATACAAACCACAGTGAATGTGTCATTATGCAAACGAGAGGGCTCAGAGTGGGCAGATGCAGGATGAGTGAGAAGCTAAATTTAGTGATGCGGCTAATGAACAGCGGAGCAGGGCAGCTCTTTTCAGACCGAGAAAACCCCCCGCAACAAAACAAAACAACAACAACAAAAAAAAAAATGCTGGAGAGCTTTCATGGTCAATGATGAATAAGTAATTACAGCTGGAGTAGCCCCATTGAGAGCAGGGACTGAGGAACAAACGGAGCGCCTGGGCTGCCAAATATGAAAATGGCTTCCTGGACAAATCATTTTCTTTTGTCTGTCCTAAATTACAGCAGGACGATCTCATAATTATGACTTAATATCCACATCTGGGTTTCAAATCACAACCTGGTTTCTTTCTGTTGTCTTTTTTTTTCCTTTGGAGGTGGACTAACAGGAAGATATTTTAAAAAAGCAACTGCTCTCATTTTATTCAGTTTTTCCTCTTGAAAACTTTCTGCCATCTCTTAGAATTGTCTGCAACAAACGCTTCCAGTGAATAAAATTGTGAATACATAGAATAGCATCTCATAAGTGGTTAGTAAGATGGAGGAAGTATCATGCTGTGGGCCTGTTTCATAAGAACCTGATTGCTAAAGCGGCAACATCAAAGGGGCAACTAAAACTAAAACATGACATAAAGCTTCAAAAAAGGTGATTTTACACAATACTGCCCCTTTAACTCTTTGAAATAAAATATTTTCTCAGTATAAAAAATAGTTTGAATCTACCAGAAGTTATATATATATATATATTTGCCGGATGTTCTGACCTTCACCGCCCAGATGGACTGCTCCAGCGGGTGAAAGAGCTTGAAGCAGAAGCCGTCCTTCTTGGACGGCCTCTCGATGAGCTCGCAGGCGTTCAGCAGCACCGTTCCCACCCACTGGCCGTTTTTGTGAGTCTTGTATATGAGGAGGACGCCCGGCTTCAGGACGCACCACAGCTTGGTCCAGCTCTTCAGCGTGCCTCGGATCTGCAGACGGAAACGTGTCAACCTGAAACCTAAAAGCCTATTTCGCTTCGATGGAAAGATGGCGGAGGGCGAGGGGGGAAGGTGAGGCGGCCCCCACCTTCAGCCAGTCGGCCATGACGATAACAGAAGGGTCTGTGATGGTGCTAAGCAGCTCCTTGGTCGCCCTCTTCTTTTCTTCTCTGTAGTTCTTCTTTTGCACCTGCAGAGAAAAAGGAAGAACGCATTAAATGTGATGTATTTGTTTCACACATTATTACACCGTGGCGCAATCTGAACTCGTGAGAACGAGTGTCGAATGTGAAATGAGAACAAACGATCCCTGATTATACAAGACACACCCTGAATGAAAGCCGACTTTTACAGGCAGCCTCTGAGAATTAGGATCCGGATATGTGGGACTTAAGCTGCTTTGGAGCATTCTCACCTTGAGGGACTCCTTCTTGGTGAGCTTTCCGCCAGACGCTGGCACATCCTTATCTGAGCCATTGTACAGCTTGGTTTCAGACTTGGGGGGGGAGAGAAGAAAACATGACATGTTTATCTCAGAAGAAATCCCATCTTCCTCTGTACAGTTTCTACAACTCCATAGAAAATTGGTTGGTTCCTGTTAACTGTTCTGAAAATGATGCATGTTTTTATATTTTTCTACAGTAAAACTCTAAATGCTATCTTTATTTTAGAACAAAATCATTTGTAAAAAGAACACATGAACACAAATGAAAAAAAACAACATCATAAGAATCATTTTCGCAGACATACTTGTTTGAAAAGGAGTTAAAAGAAGTTTACTGTTTATACTAATCTTCACTATATCCTAAAATCAAAATACATGTGACAATAAAATTGTGTAAAATGACTGGCAACCTCAAATAAAATGAGGTTTAAATCCCATTTCAGACATGAGATTGGGGTGAGACATTTACTTTCCTGTTAGCCTAAATATACAGCCAGGACTACAGTGAAAAAAGGCTTAAAATGGTCCAGTCAAAGTCCAGACCTGTGTCTGAACTTTATGTTCACAGACGTGGAATAAAAACACGTTATCAGATATGTTTGGGTGAACTTCACCAAAATGTTCACTGGATTTTGAAATCACAACACTGCATGAACAAAATCTTTGAGTATTTCAGGTCTAGTTTCTAGTGCAAATATCTCTGTGCATTTGAAATGAGACAAAACCAGTAACTTAGCAGCTTGTTTTCAAGGAATAATTCCACAAGTCATTTTCCTCATCTAATAAGCTAAAGAATCTAATACTTTTTCATCAATATTCACTTAAAACAAGCTCCTACGTGTTGCTGAAAAATTACCTGTACAGTTCTTAGTGAACTGGATCAAGCTCTACATTTAAAAGGAGTCATTATTATTATTACTACTGACAGACAGCCACGTTTTATCTGAACATTGGTAAATATTTCATTCTCCACGTAAAAGCAGACGCACTAAAGCTGCTCAACGGTGTCGGTGTGTGATGCATGAGTCATCTCAGCTGGGCTTAACGCTGCTGATGCAAGACCGGGAAAGTAAAATAGAAAAACAACAAAGTAATCCTTCCTCATATTTAATGATTCTCATGACAACAACAGTAAAGAGCACAGTTTAGTGCTATGAGCCATCATGCTTCATAACATGAGTTTTTGTCTTCTTACCTTGCTCTTGGATATGGAATTCGAATCCTCTTTCAAAGGCAGAGGAAGAAGGTCCTCCTTAACTCTCTCGAAACCTGAAAAGAAAGTAAAGAACAAAGAAAATGTTGACCCTGAGTTTGCTGCAACTCGTCAAAATTCATCGGAAGACTCGAACTCATTTTGCGTTTCTAGAAATGTCAAACAGCGTCGGCAGAACCGTGTCCTGAGGGAAACTTGACTTTCGCTTCGGCGAATTCTCCTTCCAATTAGTGAGTTTCTAACCAATTTCCAAAACCAAACAACGCCTCTCCCGCTGAGAGCTCAGCGGCCGGCGACGGGGACGCCTGGGCCTGTAAATATTTCATGGTTTCTTTCCCATAACCCTGGGACTCCGGCACTCTGCTGCGAGCGCAGAGGAAGCCCTGTAGAGGCTCATTTTCAAATGTCAAGTTTGCGAAATGTAACAGAGCCCAGAGGAGGAGTGATGCGCAGAAAATGATTCAGGACACAAATCACTGGAGAATACATTTGTTTTCAGTAAAGTCACCAGATGATGTGGGGAAAGTTGCCATCTTGGTTGAAGGCCAATCCACCAATAAGTCATCTGAATTAGACAATTTACCCTATCAGCTGGCTAAACTGACTTGATGTTTTAAGTAGAAAACAAAAATATTACATGTAACCCAACAACCAAATTCAACCCAAGACGCCTAAAGAGGCAACCTTTACTGTTAACCACATTATGCTTCCACGACAACACATAACATGAAGACTTTATTGCTTTTTAACTGGTAATAAACTTTTAATAGCTTTATTGGGTTAGATTTTCTCAGACAGCAGCTCTGATATGAAATTTTAAACTAATTAGCCCACCAGAATCACTCTCCTGACCTTTTGGATCTTATTAGGAGTAACAAATATTACCTTGCCTCAGTATCCAAGGCTAAGTGACACTTTGAGGAAGTATGAGAAAATCTCATACAAATTAAAAAGTAGTAAGTCAATGAAAACACATTTCTTGGTTTTTACTTTCTATTTGACCAAGTCCTCTGACTTGTGAGAAATACTCCAGCTGAGAAGGCTGCTGCAAGGACTTCCTAAGGGCAGATTCTCCCAGTCAGAGAGCGAAATGCTGCCTTCACAGCCTCTTTCTCCAAAATCAATACTTTGTACCTTTTTTTTTTTCCCTGCACATCAATGCCAAATCAACAAAAAACTGAGCATGACCTTCAACATACCGATTGGCATTTTCATCTTAGCTTCAGCAGCAAATATTTTCAGCATAAACAGTCCTTTCTATCCAAAGCTGCATATTTGATGTGTCTGGATAAAAACACCATGGAGTATTTTTATCAGATAATCTACAAATTCACTTAATTCGAAAAACAAAATACAAGTTTAATAAATTTCAAATTATTTTATTATTAATTTTTGTTCAGTATGGAATTTGCCAGTCAGAGCTTAAATATGTAAAATAATGAAATGGAGATGGTCAAATTTAATAAAGTCTCGTTATAAAGGCAAAATAAAACCGAAATAGTCCTTTATCTTGGTGTTAGTAAATCTTAATAGATATTTATATTTTATTTCGTAGTGAGCACCACATCCCATTGATTGAACGTTCACATAGAAAGTGAAAAGGGATGAATGTTTATCCGCAAGCCTTCAGTCGTGGATGAGTCACGCGGCACCGCATCACGACTGGAGCGCATATCTCTTTAAGAAAAGAGGAACAACAAGAACCTCCGTGACAGATCAGATGTTAGGGGAGAAGGGAGACCAAATGGAAAGCAACGGTACAGGAGCAGCAGGGAGCGCACCACGCTGCTAGCCTGGATGCTTTCCACATCCATTACTGGCATCATAAGGTCAGAACCCAGTCCATGTGCCTTGCTGGAGAGCAAATATGGCACAAGACAGCAAACGTAAAGGAATGCATGTTAAATATTTACACATATTCAAATGTTATTTGTCTCATTTGACATATCGGCCACATTTAGCATACACAGTGGAGTATGATATCCCACAGAAGCATGTGGTTATGATAATCCACATGCCATTGACACTATTGAAACTAACCTTAGCATTGTTGCTAATTTCAGCATCAGAACCCCCAGTTTGGGTCTTATCAGGCCTCAAACTACGCTTAGCATCTTAGGTCATTTTAGCTCATGTACATCTTGTATAGCAAATGAAGTAAGTCAGTGTTAGTCAGTATGCTATTGATTCCCCAGATGCTAACTACTACATTTCAATTCACGTAAGCATTGTTGCTCATTTCAGCAGCAGAATGCTGGATTTCAGACACACACATGTTGGTAGGCCCCTTTTAAATGTCTTCAAAAATGTACTAATTGCATTTTAATGTTCATTCTCTCTGCATTGAGTTCTTTCCGTGTGTCGGATATAATTTGCCCTACCAGGAAGTATGCAGTGAAGTTTCACCAAGATATTTTGTAAACTAGTAAAAAAATGAACATGTTTTATATATGTATTATTTTCTAGCAAGTCTAATTTTTGAGGGGTAATGATAAGGAAAGTGCATTGTCAGGGTCGTAGGGAAGGTCATTTTCTGCTAGGTAGTACTTGGACCCCTGTGGTAACTGCCGGCAGCTCTAGTTTTATTTAAACTTTTACAGAGTAATTGATATTTCTAATGGAAACACAGCTAATGATGTTAGATGAGAATTCCTTAGCGTGTGCCCTATTCATCCTAAAAATGTTGTAACGAGGTGAGATCAGGACTCTGTTCTTCCTCCCCAAACTCAACCACTCATGTTGTTATGGTGACTTGCTTTTGGTGACAATAGGTAGCCATTTTGGAACAAAAAGAGGCATTCCCAAACAGTTCAACAAAGTAGGAAAGATAAAAGTGTCACAATTCATGAAAAATAGCCCCATAATATAACGCCCTCAGAAACACAAGTGCCGTTTTCCCTGGGCAACAACCAAAACCAAAACTCGTCTGTTGAATCTACAGCACACCTGAGGTATGGAGGTATGTAGACATTGACACAGCTGAAAGTTGCAGTTAACTAGTACAAAAATGAAATATGTTTACACTTTTGGGATCATCAATCTCAAAGAAATGTCAATTAAATCTTGTGAGAGACAAATTCATAAATGCTTGCATAACTACATGCTTTAGGTGTTCAGTTTTATACACCTGTAGTCATGGAAGGGGTTGGACAACTGAATTCAACGATGCTGAGGACTGATGTTGATTATATGTTGCTCAACAGCATATTATAAGTCATGTTCCGAATGCTGCATCTTAGTAGCCCTTTCTGATTACACACTTCTATTCTTAATATATTTTTGGAGATGAAAACAGTCTCTGTTGCGCTGTTGTGCCTCTTAAGTAAATAGTCAAAGCAGGGGTAATACAGCTCAGCCTGATTTCTCATGGGTCCAACAAGATGTCCTCGTCTTACCAAACATCTTCAACATATGGTTCTGGATAGTAAATTAAAACAAGACAATCTAAAAAAAACGCGAACAGCAGGACAACTACGATTGAAACCAGATGTTTACATACACAGCATAAAAAAAACAAGACATTTTATCACTGTTTGAAGTTAACTTAGATGTAATACTGTTTTTTTTATTTTATTTGGTACATTGGGAAAGTCAAAAGAAATAAGCCAATGTATCAGAAAAAGGATCAATTACACACAAGAATAGACATGATGGGAATGTCCGACCATCGTAACACGCAAGAGGCTGGTTCTGTGACCTACAGATGAATGTGTTTGGGTCCAGAACACCGGAAGAACGATCTACACAATGTGGCAAAGTCATCTTAGAAATGACTCCCCAGAATCAAACTGAAATTGGCAATTCAGTCTAAACTCTTTAGGAAACCTGTAGGCGTAAGCAGAAGAGAGGAGAATATAAGACAAGTGATTTTTTTTTTCAGACGCCAACAAGCTTCTATGAGCTGCAGATGAGGAGAGATGTGGGAGTAAAACACAAAAAAAAAAAACAAAAAAACCAGTCGCGGACCTCAAAAGACAAATCAAAAACAATAAGCACACAAGTGGGTTAGCCCAACCTGCCTGCTCCAGTTATCTCCTTTAGAGGCTCTTGGCACTGCCGTCTGGTAGCTGAATGTCAAAAATTAAGATAAATGGAGCTGGGGCTGCAGGAGAAGAAATACTATGACTCAGAGATGCTGTCTTGAAGTCTGAGAGATTTATATAGCTGGAGAAGCTACTTTAGGGGAGGAAAGAAGCCGGCTTTTGGCCAAAAGGGTCGCCAGAGTAAATCTCCAGCCATGGAAAACGCTTTCAACGCCTGCAACCGAGTTGGCCTTAAGCTCTGAGCCTCAAAACGGCAAACAACAGAGTTACCAGGTCATGCAGGAGAGTCATAAATACTGCATCCGTCCGTCGCTACACAACAAGGTTTGTGCACAGTCAGCCTATACAAGGTTTCACTAAAGTTAAAAATAGTCGTGGGGAAAGGTGGAACAGGGGACGCGTTCCCTCTTTGGGAGCGCTGTGCGGTTGCCAGCTGTCCGGCTCTGTGCTCTTTTTCACCAGGATGAACAAAAGCAAAGATCGCTGAAAGCCATTTTGCAAATGAATGGTAGGCTGATTTAATCCTTCGTTTACCGTCGGATTAAATGCACTTAAAAAAAAAAAAAAACGAGGATCAACACAGCACTTTCGTTGAGGAATGGCTGGAACACGATGTAAAGCCCAACCGAAGAAGACGAGTTGTCCATTACCGGCTTGCACAAGCTTATTTAACTCAAATTCAAAACTATGAAGAGAATGTTCAGCAAAATGGAAAATTCCCACTTTTTCCAATTCAGTAGACACATTCAAGTGAACATCGTTTTGAACTATTCTTGACAATGTTTAGCTCTTTTTTTTAATCATAAAACAGAGGTACAAACATGTATTCATTGCTACGAAAGTCAATGTTTGCGAGATTTAATTATTGAACAAATATGAACTGGGTTTAGTTAAAATCCCAGATAAATTAAAGAAAAAATAAAATCAGTAAATTAATCCTTTGAACAACTTAAAAGTCTTACAGTTGACAAACTACAAGAGTTTTTGAGAGAGACCAATTTCTCCACAGACACCGATGAGAATATGTAATTTAAGCTGATTTTCCCAACTTCATACTTAAAATCACAACAACTTTAAATTCAGTATGAGTGGCCGCATCATGAGGGATATGAAAACATATTGATAAACTGCCTCAATTCCTAAAGTTTTTCCCCTATTCAGCAGCAAGGTATGTCACTTTTCAGTATGTTGCTTCAGATGGCAAAGACGAGTTTTGTTATCAGCTTTACTACAGATTCATAAACATTATTAGTAGATTATAGATCTGGGACGATTGTTGGACTTGTCTTGACGCCAACAAAGTAGTAAAACACAACGTTCTGAGAAAACTCCCCACCGTAGAGTAAATCCTGTAGAAGAAATCAGTCGCGGCCACAAGCTGAATGACTAAAAGACTCTGCAGCGCCCCGCCACCCGGACAGCACACCCACCTGGAAGCGAGATGGGCGACAGTTCGTTATAGCCCCCGAAGGAGGCGTTGCGGATGAGTTTGCGTCCGTCCGGGTGCGGAGGTCGAAGCGACGCCGTCCCGCCACACGTGGAGAACCGCCGGCGGTTCAGCAGGCCCTCCTCCTTCATCATGGGGCCGGCACGGAGCTCCCTCGCCAGTGGGGGGAGGAAGACACAAGGGGGAGCGAGGGAAAGGAGCAGGGGGCGGGTCGGAGGGTGATCGGGAATCCAATTCCCTCTAGTGTGCGAGTGAAGCGGTGGAGGAGCACAACACAAAAACACATGCAGCCTTTGAATCAGTGCAGCCGACTGGCCCCCTCTCCGTCACACACACACACACACTCCCTCTCCCTGCTATGAGAGGGGAGAGGCTGTAAGTACTTAATAAGGAATAAGCCGAGCCCCGCCTACTCCCTGTGTTCCGGATGGGAGGGGAGCCGCATCCTGACTCGATGTCTTCCTCTCGTCTTCCTCTGCTGCTGCATTTCTTCTCATGAGTTTCTAATCAGCCCCTTTAGACATAAAGGAACACTTCACTGCTTTCCCAGGTGATTCATCTTCGCCAAACATTGAACTAAGACGCGTATTTTCTTTTTGTTGTTGTTTTTTTTCCCCAATAGAGCATCTTTTTTATTGTAATAGTAATCACTCGCATCACGGATATCGTGGATTCATATCCGTGACGTTCTGTCCTGCTTTTTATCTTTGGAAAACGAAGCGAAGACGACGGAGGATGATGAAAATGAGGCAGAATCAAAAGCATCATGACAGCTTGGGTTCCCCAAAGCTCCCACTGCTCTCACACATTCCCAGATTTAATCACAAACTCAAAACTGCCCGATTTTATTCATACCTATATGAACAGAAAACAATCCCCTATTTCTCTTTTCTTTCCTTCCACGGATGTAGAGCTACTTGTAATCTGTTGATGAGATGTTTTTTGTTGTTGTTTCTTTCTGGTTACTAGTTAGTTGGGCGTTTTATATCAAAGCACAGAACATAGAATTAGACAGAATAGATCTGCTCTTATGGGTCAGAATATTGTCACTGATACCTGATCTAGAAGCTTTTTAAATATCTGGACCAACACAGATGTTAATGTTGGATCGGTGCATTTCTAGCTGTGGCTGCACAGATTTTATGGCAAAGAATTCACTTTGTATCTATGTCACAAATACACAACTTGATATTTAGTTGAATTTGTAAAAACAACAAAAAAAAACTCTACAGTTAATCCTGTTTAATTTGGACTTCAGCATCAGTAAAGGAATTTCCAAAAAGCTACTTTCTGAAAACGTACAAATTTATACCCTCATTTAGATTTTTTCCTTTCGAAACTTAATTTTGTCATATTCATAATTATCCAGACTTTGATGACATGGGTTAAAAATGGCCAAGAACGCACAGAATTAACAAGTATCTTGCTGTACATGTAGTTTTGTGGCACTATTATCCTGATAAATAGCAGTGAAATGTCCCTAATGAGGGGTGTATCATTCTGTAATCCTAAGGGCCTGAACCTGCTGTGAGGTCAGGGGTCATCAGGCATCACAAAACAAGCACAAAGCTCTGTTAAAGACAGAAGGAAGACAAACTATTTGCCTTTATCTGGGATCAGAAAAGCCTGATCTTCAAAACCCGATGTGTAAGGAAGAACATCTACAACGCCGCCATCTTCTTTCCAATCAGCTGACCTGCCCTGTTTATTGTTGTGACTTCAACCCATCTGAAAGCTCCGGGCGTCCCACTGGCCCTTTGTCAAGTCTCCGTCCGTGGAGACTGTTCATCAGAGACAGACTGCAGGAGTTTAAACAAGCGTAATTTCTTCTAAAACTTCTGTGGCAACCGGCAGTTCCGCGCCTGAGAAGTGCACAGCAATGGCCGTCTGATTCAAACGTGCTTTAATTAAAACGGGTAATTGGATGTTGGGAACAAGTGAATCATTTCCCACAGCTAATTAACCTCCGAGGAGAGGAAGCGTCCATCGCTGCTGCACCTAAAATTAGTCTGCATTTGGGTCTTTTTTTTTTTTTTCAAACTGGGTGCACGTCTAACTGAAGAAAATATAATGAAACAGTTTTGAAAGGACTGAGTATTTTAGCAGCAACAGTGACATGTACATCAGAGTCAGTCTCTCAGTTGCAGAAAAAACAACCAAAGCCTTAAAGGAGACACCATGTAAGCCTGGGATTACCTCTACAACAAAAAGGCTATTTAAATCATTGCTCTATCGACTCCGTCTACTGTCTTTGAGTCAATGCAGCAACATTACTAACTTTTGAAATCTGGAGCAATTTTCAGGAAAATAGAAGGAAAAACAAGTACTACTCTACCGTACTGTACCTCGGGTTTCTTCTGGGTAACAATCAAGAGAAACTCAAAAGAGTCCAAAGCAGAGGAGCAGACAGCAGCTTAACCTCCCATGTTGCGCTATGGTCGCTCCGAGTGCTCCAGCTGTCCGAGCCGTGCTCAGAAACCCAGACGGAGATGTCGTCCATCGTGTCTTCCCGACCCAGTCGGGAAGGCGTTCGAGTAGCTCGCTGGAGGAAGGCGGGAAGGCTGCAGATCACAGCGGCCCCCTCCGTGTGGTTAACCCGGTCTGACAGCGCCTAATCCCCGCAGTTGATCCTAAATCCAAACTGACCCCACCTGTTCCCTTCGCTTTTCATCTCCCTCCGCCGCCTGTTTTGCTTTCTTTTAAGTGGAAACGCGCACACAAAAGCGTTAAGCAGACTGAAGTTTTCTGCGTTTTGCCACATTATGACGAGGCCCGTCATCATAAGAAATTTTGACAGATTATCATCAGTGAATGATGATATTGTCGTTTTGATCCAATTTACAATAAGTTGAACATCTAAAAGACCAATAAACTTGAATTTTGTAAAGAACACCAGATGCTGGACCTGGAAGATTGTCTTTAAAAATCCAAAATAAAACACAACAACCTAAAAAAAAAGGGGTGGATAAAAATTACTTACAATTGAAACCATGCATATAATGGATTATTACATTTCTGTCAACAAAATTGCCCTGGAGAAATACAGGAACACTTACTCTAATTTTCATTTTCTTGCTTGTTTACTTTTTTCCTTGCCTCTCTTTTTACCAGACAAGATACCAGACAAGATTCTTCCTGTTCCAGTAAGAATCTTTGAAAGCATGTATTTGCATTGTTACGCATGTTGTTAGTTATAAATGGTTTACAGTATACTGTCAAACTAAATTCGTTTTCATGACAGGCGGCAATCCTTCTGTCCGCTGCATCTTCACCTAGGACAACTCTTCAAAGGTAGTGGGGATGATAGAAGCTGATTTTTGTTTTATTTTGGTAGAAATACGGTATTATTGAACTGAATGGTTTAGATCAGTTCACATTCATGTGTAAAATGACCTAGTCAAAGGCTGTAAATTTAATAATAAGTCTCTGCAGTGAAAGGTGCTTCCGCAAAGTACACAATCAACCCCACGCCACACTTTCCAGATTGTCGTTCCACATCAAATCCGGATTAAGCCTCCTATGACTTGTGGCTATAACGAGAGGAAATGAGAAAACGTTCAATGTGCAATAAATACGCAAGAACTGGAGTCGGTTGTTTTCTGAACTCCAGACTGTTGATCCTCAAAGAGTCGGCGCCCACGGCTGAGGCGTTCCTGTCGAAACGGCTTCTCACCGAGTCATAAGGCAGAGGCAACGTCGTTTCTGTGCAAGTGCGATAGGAAATCACTGAGATGAAGCCGACGCACCATGAAAGCAGTAGCATCTTTAAATATTTAAACACTGAGATTAATGAATAAATTCTTCAGAGAGGATTCCAGAAGTCAGAGATCTTGGTGAGAAAGAGTCACGGAGGGATTTTTACAAAGGCAAACAAGTTAAAATATGGAAGAAATGCATATAAATATGAGAATAAGTGGAGCTTCAATGTCTGGAGATGACTCCGTGTATTTAATATGCTAAACCTTGGTACTTGTACTTGACACTGCTGAAACAACCACTCATCTTCACACCTCAGCTGTGAATGTTCCCTCACAGCTCCGGCTGGATTTGAGTAATCTTACGTCACCGCGATGCGTCTCGCTGTACAGACAAACTGTAAAGGATTGTGACAGAGGAATTATGGGAGAGTAGGGAAAAATAAAAAATATGCTTTTTTTTATTTTTTAACTTGAGCAAAACAAACCAAAGCTCAAGCTGTCATCGAGACGGCTGTTCTGGACCGCAGCTCTTGACTTTTCTCCGACATATTTAGACCAGTGGCATTAGTGGCTCTCACATTAGTATTGTCTGGGCTGAAAATCAGTTGCCATGGATACCTATTTTGGTCTTGAAGGAGTCGAGGGTCAGAAAAGGTTTTCGCAAGTCATTGTGAAAACAAACAAAGGCAGTTTGGATGATGCTGCTGCATATTAAGGTGTATCCTTAGGAAAACATTCAAATGCTGTTTTAAATCTGGATCATAACTGATAACAATACGCTGGACATCAAAGTTATGATTGCCAAGTTAAAACCAGAAACAACCAACTTTAAGGTTTTAAAATAATAACTTCACAACACAGAGATTACTTTGTTCCATTTCCTCTTCTCATAAAAGAATGTTGAGAATGTTTCAAAATGTTTGATGTTAGTGGAATTTTTCTTCCAATTCTGAATTATGCACAATTTGAGTCACTAATTTAAAAAATAAATAAATAAAAAAAAATTCAAGGTGACTGAATGCAGATTTAGATTTGTGTCATTCTAGCTCCCTCTTGTGGTATGATCACGCCTTTAAAAATACACGTTTTCTAAAACCACTAACAAATTAAATGAAGCTCTAACATTTTACACCTCACTAATCGACATCGAATCACTAAGTTGGACAACCGTTCTTTCCTGCCTCCGTGACCAGGAGAGACTTCATTACTACGACAATGAAGAACTGATCAAAAGAAAGAGAAATCAATACAGTTTTGTCAAGATGATACACTGTAATGTAGCTTTAAGGTAACCAAGCAACCACCCTCAGGAAGCTCTTCAATCCACAATCCTACCAGTGATTAACAGAATCTCCAATTTCATCAATAAGACCTGTATGAATCTTGAATGCGTATTCTTTAGAAAGCCACAAGAGGGCGCACTGACACTGCAATGAGACAAATGAGTGGTTATGTAAGACTTTAGTGAAATCTACTCTGTTTTGTTCCACAGAAAGACTTTTATCTGGTGTGAGGAAAAAATACAGAACCACACTAATCTAATGAAAAAAGATACATTTCTACTTTTTAGAGTAGCGTCAGTGCTAGTGGATAAGGCGCTATAATTCACCCCATCCTGCTTAAAAGGCCTTAAATGAATTCATTCCTACAGGTTTTTAAATGATGACTGTGATTATGCACCCAGATCGTTATATCTTCATTCCTTTGAATCGATTTCAATATGTAGAAACATGATTCTCAAAGTAAAGCAACAAATTTAGAACAAAAAAAAGAGCAAGATTTAAAAAAAAAACTAAATTCCTGCATGTAAGTGCTGAAAATACAGTGAGGAACAGACAAGGTTTTTATCTCCTCATAAACTCAGTAGCTCTGTGAGCCACACTGCTGCTGCTCAATCCAGACTAAGACAGCTAATCTGATTATTCTGCAAATGATAAATGTTTACTGCTTTAATCAGGAGGAAGGCTGCGGAAGTTGAGCAGTTTTATGCTGCTGCTGCTGTGGCCGATACAGCTTTTCCTTATCTGCTTTTACTCTATAGTCTTATTTTTATTTCTACATTGTTCTTCAATTTATCTTTAATTCGCTGTAGCTAATGACTTTCTATTCTACTCTATTAAAAAATACATAATCAATATTCGAGACACAAGCTTCAGAATGAAGGTCTCAGCAACAGTTGCTACAACAACTGTAAACAAACTGGCACAAACAGGGCTCAGCAGAAAGCGATAAATTGTTTAATGCTGCCTTATGTTAAAACAACAACATTTTATGTATGTACAAAAGTATTCATACTTTGAATGTTTTTAAATTTAAAAGGTAAATAATGCCTTTAGCAAGGCACTGCAATTTCAAGACTAAAGATGGCTTTCAAATCCAGGTTCAAGCATGAACATTCTTTTCCTACACAGGTTAAGGTCGACAAAGTAGGCGGAGTCGTGCCCAAGATGGAAAAAAAGAAAAATAGTTTTACAGAAAAAAAACTTCACATACTGGAATTACTCCTTATGAGAACCCTGTGTTATTCATCGTCACCTTGTTTTGTTTGGCTTTGGAGTGTTGAAGCGTATATCCCACACTCAAACAAGCCGGTTCAACTGAACCAAAGGTACAACGCATAGTTTGCCACAAAGCAATAATCTGAATACAGTGTGTATTCGTCACAACAGAAAAAAGTGAATGAACCTCCATGTTCTGCACAGCTGCAGAGCAAACAGCGTGCCAGTGGATCTTACCATGGGTGTAGCTGACCCCAGGGCTGAGGTTAGAGGGCGTGGCTATGTGCTCCCTGTTGGGCGTTTGAAGGCCCGCCTCCTTCTCTTTCTCCCTCTCCTTGTCCTTGTCCCGCTCCTTCGCCTGGCGTTGGCTCATCCTGCCTGGGGTCAGAAGGATGGGGTCATCGCTGGACGTTATAGCACCTACAGATGGAAACAGGAAATGAGGTGAAAACAGGACATTAGACCATCTCTTGCTTCAGAGAGGATCTCTAAGGGCCCTCTTGTGGAGCACCAGTCCGGTGCATCCCTCCCGTTTCATAACCCCTTTTTGATAACTTACATAACATTCAATTTTATCTACGCCTTATGACTGGAAATATGTTTCACAGGAGCTGATAAGCTGCATATATGAGCCTGTCCCTTATCACTCCACCATGTTTACCTGAGACCAATGAAACCAGCATGCATGTTATTGCTTAGGAAAAGGGAAAACATTTTAAGGCGAGCACCTGCAATAGTGTTGCACTGCCAGATTAAGGTGTCTGGCAGTTAACTGGTAAAGATGATGAACTTTAAAACAGATCCAGATTACTTGTGTACTAGTGTCATGGGCTAAGCGCTCAATTAATCAGATAGTTGCATGTATTTCTTCTAAAATACAAAATGTGTTAGAAACAAATCACTTTGAAGGTTCCAAGCACAAGACCATTTTATATCAGGGTTATCAGATGTAGTGACAAAATAGAAACTTTGGCTTATTTACTGGGAAGACTGAGCTGATAACGAAGGTTTCAGAGGAGGTGTTTTTCTTCTCCTTTCCACCAAAATTTTTTTGAACCGGGTTTGATTTAGGGACAGAAGTACTGAGAGAAAAGTCTTGCAGGAGAGAGAGGGGTGGGAGGTGCCATGTACGTGACTGAAGAAGATATTAAAGAAACTTGTATGTGTTAAGTTTCGCTTCTTCCCTTTTCTTCGTTCTCTACTTTCATTTCTAGCCTGATCTCTGAGGATATTTAATTATTCTAAAATAACATATCTGGACGCAAATGCGCATTCCTCTGATTGAATCGGTGTTTCACTAAATATCGAAGGAATATTTTATTACACTGATGACCCGGAATATCCAAACTGAACCAGACGTTTTTAGTGAACCATAAATCTGTTCACAAGTATACCTCATTCTTCCTATGGAAGACAGAATTAAACTATTATAAAAGTTGTTTTAAAAACATAGTGACAGGGTACTTAAAGGGGCAGTATTATGTGTTTTCCAGCCACATACTGCCATTTTATATTTATTTTATCAAGTAGTTAACTATAATTATATATATCAAATTTGACTTAAAGAAAACTACTTTATAATTTA